GGGCATAGTTTTTTAAAAAAATAGCTGTTACGAAGAATTCTGCGTTAGGAATTTAAATTTGGATAATTTTTAAGATTTTTAAGTATTTTACGAATGAAAATTGTATTTAAGAAAAATGAATATAAATTTCACTTTGAATAAAAATGTCATCTATTCGATATTTCGTTTATTATTTGAGTAAATTAATTTGTCTGTATTAAATATTTTTATAAATATTTGTCACAAGATATTTGCGAATCAAAATGAACAAATTGAATGATTTTAATTATAAAATATTGTAATTTTCAATGTACGAGCATGTCTAGATTTAGATTTTCTAGGAGAGTTCTGATACAGAACCGTCAGTAGTAGTTAGTTCAGACTGCATTTTAATTTACTTTGTACGCAATATATATTATTTTGAATTTCGAATATAATTATGAACAAATGATTGCACAAACAGCCAAAGTGAACGCGTGTCCCCAATTAATTATTTTCTTGTTCTTGTTTACATTCTGGTATGACACTTATGGAACAACGAACGATATGGACTTAACACACTTCGACACAGACTGACAATAAAGATAATGAAGAAATTAAATGATACTGACACATAAAATTTGAATCACAACATTACGATTTTTTGTTACTTTATAATCTTGAATTAAATCCTTGAAAATGGGTAATGAAATACTGACATTTTAATAATACTTCATTCCATTTTAGGTTTTGTTATTGCCCATATGTATAATTTGTTTATTACACATTTTAGTATCTGGATTATTAAGAGATCATACCCTGATAATATGGTTTAAATTGTAGATGGGTAACTCACTCCGGAGTTATCACTCCGATACAACTCCTCCCTCGGAGTGAATCCGAGCGGACTTGTGTCGGAGATTTTGTCATATTCAACTTTCCTAAACTGGTATTAAATCTGTTTTTGCTTTGGGAAGGAAGCGGTCGCTTACTCGTCTCACAGACAGTTTTACGACGTTTTAGGTATACGAGTCAAAATAATGCCATTGTGTATTTTCCAGAAAATACAAAAATTTTACTTTAAAGACACAGAACAATAAAATTGTGTTCAAATATGAATAGCTCAAATGTATAATTTATTGAATAGAGTATTTCGGTTTCAAAGTTGTCGGAGTCGTGGTTAAGCGGAGTCAAATTCTAACCGATTCAGCTTCGGATATGATAAGCCCATATCTAGTTTAAATAATATATACATAAGATATTTTGTATAGAGACAAAGGGGCCGATACTGCCGTATAATAGACCGAGTTATGGTAAGGCCATGTTTGTAATGTTTTGCATATAAAATGGTACTAAAACTGTCGAAATGCTATGTATTTGCTGTGCAGTCAAGCGTTTCGCACGTAAAATCTGACTTCACTCGTACCTTAATATGTCACATCACAAAGATGCACTTTTGATAAGATTCTTTTTTTGATGTTTGTGCATTTTCTAGGATTGATTTTCTATCTAAAACGCCTGACTGCACAGCAACCATATAGCATTTTGACAGTTGTTAGTACCACTTAATATGAAAAATGCTACGTAACATAGTCTTGCCATAAAATTGGTCTATTTTAATGTAATTTACATTCAGTTATTTTTTACATTCAATTATCTTTTTCAATCATTTTGACATCAAGTTTTATCTACTTTGAACACCTTTTATATGAAATATTTGCGCCTGCTAAAAAATACCGATAACAAATTTTATGATTATAACAAAAAATAAATTTTATGATTACAAATTGAAGCACAATTGCGACTGTCTGGAACAAAAATGTTTGAACTTTTTTGATATTCTCGATTTTTTTAAACATTTATAATCGGAATTTGAGAAAGTATTTCATTAGTTTATTTACAAAAAAATGGCATCAAATGATGTATTTTTAAAAAATAATTGTTTCCCAACAATATTAGCTACTGCCAGACCAAATATCTAGCAATTTATAAAACCACTTAGTAATTTTGCTTTTATATATTTTTGAATACATGATGGAAAATAATAATAAAGTAAACATAATGCAGCATTAAATTTAATTCACTATAGGCTAGTATTCTCACAAGTTCAGAATTTATGAAATTACCGTAAAATACATAAAATTATCATCACTCTTTGATGAGATTTTTTAAAATTTTAATTAAAACCAAGGAAAATTAGAGCTACGGCTATTAAGAACTATGTTATTATCATAGTTCATAAAAAATATACAGCGACATTAAAATAATAAAAATATATTTCATATCAATATGTAAATATGTTTCAACTAAGATTGTTTTTGTCGGATAAGAGTCAGAGATTGTATATTTTGTGTTATATTTTCTCAGACAAGAAATAAAACTTTTTATTTCATTAGTTTGATTTGTTTTCATAATTATAGCATATATAAATTATTTTTTGTTTTGCTCTGTATGATAATTTAAATGATTATTTCAGAGTAAATAATAATAAATTATTACATTAACGATATTGAGAATGCAATATGTATGTCAAGAAATGTAGGATATTGGACACAAATATTTATTGACGAATGATGCATATACATGTTTATAATATAAACTGTTAAATTGATTCGTCAAATACTGAATAATACTGTAAACAATTCGTTGAAATCAATTAATGAAAGACAGTGTTACTCAATATTTATTTTATTCATTATTAGTAAATCATTGATCAATCGATATATTATTGTTTTGAATTGAATATAATGTTATCTATAGATTAATAATTATCGATTTTAAACGGAAATACAATGCAAAAATTATATTTTTGACATAAGGCTGTCAATTTGAGAATCAATAATTTTGTTCCTGAAAAATTTGACACATGTGGAATTTTGCGCAATTATAGAGAATACAAAGGTTCCAACGTTTCCGAGTACAAGTGCAAATTTTATGGTTGATAAAAATAAACAATGTTTTATTTCTGAATTTAATGTTTTGCAACGTTATTTTTTGTTTCAAACAAATTTTATTATAAGTATTGTGTAAATTTAAAAAATAACAGAGCATACATTAATTTTACCTAAAAAATTTTTAAGCTAATACATTTTTTGAAATAATTGAGATCAAAGATCAACAGTTCCCTAAAATTTGAGATTATAAATATCGTTTTTTAGTGTGAAATAGTAATTTTTTTAAAAAGTGTTTAGTATTCTCCATTTAATGAATTATAAAAAGTTTAATACTTTGAACAAAAATCAATATTTTCAAGAATTTTATTCTTACAATACTAATTAAATTTTGATAATAACATTTAGTAATGAAACAAATAATAATGAAATCAAGTATTTTTAAATTTTATTGTATTTTTTTGCACATATCAATTTTGTAAATAAGACATTAAAGTCTTGATTAACAAAAATAAATTATAACAAAAAAAGTATTTTTAAATATTAAAGATATTTAATAATAATTTACACAAAAATATAAAATTATATTTAAAACTAAAAATCTTTAAAATTCAAAAATGTCTAGCTTTTCTCACAACTCAATATTTGCTTATGCTTATTATTATGCGATTGCTTATTATTTTTAATTTTTTTATTAATTAATAATTATTTAATTAATATATTACATTAATAATTTGCAATATTTAAAAAATTACTAAAAAGTATTTTGAATAAGTTAATTTTCAATGTATTTCAATTTAATAAATATTCTTAACAATTCCAAGTAATAGGTGATGGGATATTGTAGATCTTTTTTAGCCGTTGACATTAGCATTTGTTTACAATTTTTCTGTCTTTAAACTATTGTTTGCAGATTAACTTTTATGTCATCTTTAATAACTAATTTTGCACCAATTTGTTAATAAACAAAATTTAGAGAATAAGTAAAATTATTATTTTCCGCAAGAGTGATGCTGCTGTACGAAACATCAACAGGCACAACAGCATATTTTAAGATTTTTTTAGTCATTATCAATAAAAATGTCTTGAAATTAATTACGCCTCTAATGAACTAAAAATTACAATGAATAACTAGAATTCTCAATGCTTTAACTCAGTGATGCCGACGCACTACATGTCGTCCATAAATGACACCCGTATACGCAGGTGAATAAGTGGATATTGTTCATGGAACATACTCGTAGCGAAAATAGAATAATTTTTTTTTCAATCATATTTACTGACTTTTAGTAAGATCTATTATTCGATTATAATGTTATATTACATTTTTCGCTTTTAAACCTTTTATAAAACTTTGTTCAATTTTCTTTTTAATTATCTTGAAAAAATCAATTATGCCAAGCAACAGTCAAGAAGTTTTTATATTTTTTTTAATTTTTTGTCGAAATTATTAATGTAAAGTGTGAAACCCGCTTTCAAACTCTTATATTCAGCCATTTTCTAATTCATAAGTGGGCGTCCATTAATCACGTGAGGTTTTTAAAAAATTTAAAAATTTTACAGTTTTATCACGTAACTAAAAATACACATGATGTTTGGTGGGGGAAGGGGGTAATTTTGAATATCGCCATGTATCACCAAGGGGAAGGGGGGTCCAAAAATTCTTAAAAACTCGCTCACGTGATTAATGGACGCCCCCTAACGTTATAGTTAAACCTGGGACAATCCGGGGCAAAAGATCTAAATTCGGAACAAACAATGCTTTTTAAAAAAAGCGCGACGGAATGTGTAAATCCGGGATTGTCCCGGCCAAACCGGGACTTAGTTAAATATGAATTTTATTTTAAGTTTTAAAATTTATGTAAAATATGTTGAATTTTACTGTCTATAATGTGATTAAGTGGGTTTAATTGTGTAAATCCGAAAATAGTTAGTTAATTATATGTTATACTTCATTTAAATTGTTATATCATTTCAGATATGAGATCAGTCTTTCATTCTAACTCCGCTTGATTCACTTCTATTTATTTACGTTTTATGTAATATAAAAATCGTCGTCTAATTTATAAGCTCTTATATCTTGTCTATAAAATAAGAACAATGAAATATTTATTTATAATAATATTTATAATAATCTATTAAATATTTCAGATGTGTACGCAGCATATTGGTTTAGGAGCAGAACCACATTACAAGGCGGTGTGCCGGGCACTTGTGGCAGAAGTATTAGAACTAAGTACCTTTTTAGCACACGTCTCCCAAGGAACCAAAGAATTAGCAGGCGACAATACTTGCTATGAACTAGATCTGCTACATCACACAGAATGGGTAACTTTTCTTTTTTTTGCATATATTTTAAGTGCTATAAGCATTATTTAGTTTTATCTAAATTTCAATCAATTGGTGCAAATGAATGACTGAATGGCGCTTTCGTTGAACGAAGAATTTATATAAGGTTATGGTTTTGATTTTGACAATTCATCAATTTTACGTGTTAGTATTTCTGTATAACTCATTTAAAATAATTTACAAATATGAACTGATTTCACCGAAATTATCAACTATTCTGAATAATAATCTTATTTAATTAAATACTGACCTTTAGCAAATAAAGTATAGTTAGCAAAATTTTAATGAGCATAGAATTAAAAGATTTGGTGTTTAAAAACAATACAAGTTCAGCGATTTATTCCCCATTCTATACTATTTTTATTATACTATTAAATTTATAAATACATTTTGGAAATTTTATTAGATCAATAAAAGAAATCGTTGTATTTATTAATATAGCAAATCGGTATATCTAAAAAGACCAAGATTTGGTGAAATTCTTACACATTCACAAGTTTTTATTCATAATGACACATTTAATAAACGTTTTTACTTTGGCCAAATGCCCCTTATTATATAAAAAATATTTTTTAAATTTGAGGAATCTGTACTCAAATATCGATCGATTAAATTGGCCGCATAATACTTTTCATTATATTTATAATTAGTCAAAAGCTTATTTCATGTACTGTGTGTTGGCTGCAATGACATAAATTTACTCATATTTTTGCAATATTCTAAGTGTGGCTAAATTTCATAAATAACTAATATAGATTTTTTGTAATTTTTAAACAAATTCAGCCCAATCGTAGGATGTCGAGGCGATATCATCAAGTACGTATTTGAATTTTACAATCATTTGTTTTTCTAAAGCATGCACTTTTATATCTCGTAAATTTTTGTTATTTATACGTTTAAATCATTTCTAGCTTTCATAGTTAACAGTTTAAATGAATGAAACTTTCAATATTTCATGAATTGGAAATTTTGCATGATTTATGTTACGATGATCGTAAATCATTCGTTTTGTTTTATTTCTTATATGGAACATTTAAACAGTTCTTTTATGAATTTTGTGTTAGTGTGATTGGTTTTATACATATTTATTCAATATAAGTTAATATATTGAGAAAACATCATCGATCAGAGTCGTTAGGGTTGAATTGAAGAAGTACATGAAGATATGGAAATTGAGGTACAGATTAAATTTTTACAAAATTAAAGTCAATGACTAATATCATAAATGGTTTCAATGTCAACTTTATATAAAATGTTTTAATTGTCAATATAGATTTAGTTAATATTGACAGGATTCACAATTGTGGCAGATATTCGCCTAGTTGTGTAACTTATGTGTCACATATCAATATGATTCGGATTATACTTAATGTTGATGCTTTGACAATAAATATCGTATTTTTATAATTGTAGTACGTTATTTGATCAATGCATCAATTTATAATAGACCTTTATACTTCTGGCTGTTATATGTATTTTAAATAAAGTCTTTTTGTTATTAGTGTATTGGTAAAAAAACTGCTTCAGGCTGCCAAATCTCACGCTTTACCGTTGATTTTGACATTAATTTAGTTTTTGACATGATTTTAAATTTTCTCATTAGATTCGGTGTTCCAAGAGTAATAAATTAGTATTACTTTAGCATAGTTTGTAGTGTAATTCATCGGTAGATCGATGATCTCCTGTCAAAGATGGTCTAATATTCAGAAGCAGAGGTAGCAAACTTTTGGGTACTGCGATACGAAATAGCAATTCAAATGATTATTTTGAGTGTAATATCTCACAAACATGCTTTCAGGCGGCACACCTATTTGAATTAAATAATTGAGTTAATTAATACCAAATAAATATAAAGTAGATTTTCATAGTTTTAGTGATTTTAAATTAGTTGGTAAAATTAGAATTTTAAAAATTCTTTTATACCAAATTATATTTATTTTACATGAATTGGGCTTTACATTTTGTGTTTTTTTGCTCTATCAATTGGCATTTGCGCTGTTTGTTTTAATACTAGTCTTTTAACCATCGTATTTTTACTCTAAAGTAAATTACAAAATTTGATGTGGAAAACTTGTTTCTAGTTATAGGGTTTTTTCTTTGAAAATTGATTTATTACATCCATTTATACGTTTATCAATTTTTAAGGCTCGATTTTGGATGCAAGTGATCAATGAACTAAGGATGGGCGTAAAACTGAAGAAGGTCATCCACAGCCGAGCTCCCATCGAATACGAGATGACACCGTACGAAATCTTGATGGATGACATCAGGTCGAGACGGTATCAGCTTCGTAAAACCTCTGGATACTTAGACGTTCCACACAGGCTGAAGAAAGATGCCCATGCACTCATATTAGACTTTATAAGGTCTAGGCCACCATTAAGAAAGGTAAGATCTATGTAGTTTTTGAGTAAACAACCTTGATCTGGTATTTTATCAGAAATATTTATCAGCAGAGTTGGAATATCTATTTATTTAATTTATCTTTTGTAGAATTGCTTTTTTACCTAAATTTACTTTTTTATTTGCTACTTCTTATTCTTTACACCTCTGCCGGGTAAAGGTTCAATTGGTCCGTTTCACCTCACGCAGGTGTAAGCTTTTATAGAGGTTATATGAAAAAAAAAACTGTTGAATCTAACTTTAAATTAACAATACATCTTATAAAACAATTAAATAACTTAAAAATTATATTAAAGTCTCGTGAACTAAGCAACAGTGCTCACAACCAAAACAAAGAGCAACGAAAGAAAATACTCTTGTAACGGATTTTCCATATTGCAATTTTTCTCCAGATAGCAACGTCGTAAGAATCAAGGCGATGGCTGGTTATGCATATTTTTCCTCTACTTGCAAATATTACTGTTGTTTAAAAAATTCTTAACTTCACTGAATTTTATGATATCAGTAATGAACCTTTTCACCCGCGGACCTTCAAGCCCCGCTCTACCCTATATCCTTCTCTTCATAAAAATGGCAACAATTTTAATTCAATAATTTGTCGTGATGAAGAAAATACGTACACAGTTTGTAATATATCTCAAACTATCATTTGTTGTATTTTAACGGTTTCTAAAACCGTTATAATTACTTACTTTGGCACTGATTATAAAATCTAATACCTAACATGGTAAACAAATAGTTTTTGATGCAAATAAGAGACAATGTTATTAATAAATTATAAATAAAATACTTAACTCTTTTTCAGAACACTTTGCATTTTATAAAGCCCATTGTTTATTTTAACAGAATAAAATAAAAATACATCATAAGTTACGCAATAATGAAACAATAACGATTACAATTATAATTTGAAAACAATAGTGCAATTTATTCGCAAAATGATATTTAATCTGTTTTTAAGACGTTTCGCATATGAACTCGACACTTTCATAATCTCCTTTAGATGAATGATGCAAATGAGCGAATTAACAATTGATGGTATTTAGTACTTGAACAAATTTACGTAACGGTTTATTTGTAAATAAAGACAGCATTTTTAATAAATTAGCATTTTCATTAGCATTCATATTTTGCCACTTGTATGTTAATTTCGCTTTAACATATAACTTAGCTCGATGGAATAATTAATAGGTATTTCAACTACTGCAATTTCCTTTTTCACTTTCGGTTGCTTCATGATGAAGATATGCAAAATGAATAATGATGAAATCTCTTGTCCGCAAATAATATTTACGATGTTTATAATTAATATAGATAATTAGAAAGATGATTGCAATGTTAGTATCTACTCCAAGAAGTAAGAATAACGTGACTAGTTGAAACAAAAGGTAAAAGAGGTTTATACATATGCAGTTTCACAAGAATCTACTATAAATTATAATATTAAGTTACAAATTTAATATTAATTTTCGCGTTGATCAATGAACTTTTTGTAATAAATGCTATATGAACTTTTTCAATTTCTGTTCTAATAACTATTTTTTATATTCATTTAAAAAATTCGATACTTCTCTCTTCTGTCGCTGTCTGTCTTATAATAAGGAAAGTAGAGCGGGCTTAAAGGTCCGCGAGTATAAAGATACACCAACATTATTTCAGAAACAAGCAAAGTATAGAATTTTTAGTGATATTGTTCTAAAGTTATAGAAAAAAGATGTTTAACCAGCTATCATGTTAATTCTTACGATGTCGCTATCAGTAGATATAGGAAAATGTATAAATATTCGTACTAAAAGAATTTTCGTTAGTAGATTTTTTGGTTTTGAGCTCTTGTATTTAGTTTATGATACCTATATATAATTTTTAGGTATAGGTTATTTAAATGTTTTATAATATATTATATATTTATAATATATTGTGATTTTTAAGTTATATTCAACAGTTCTTTTTATATGACTTTTATAAAAGTTTACATATGTGTGGGATAAAAAGAACTAACTAAAACTTTACATAGACAAAGGTGTAAGCAATAAGAAATAGTATATAAAAAAATAAATCACGTTTAAATAAAGCAATTTTACAAGAGATAAAATAAATTAATAGTTATTCAAACTCTGCAGATAAATATTTCTTTCGTAATACTAGATTAAGGAGGCAATTCTGCCGTAACGAAGCTCAGAAAATAGCTCATAAAATAGCTGTCATGACAACGCTCGCTTATCATGGTTCTTGGTATTGAAAATTATGAAAATGTATATCTATTTACCGTGCGATCAGGGGTATTTTACCTTTAAACAAGCAAGGATTAATGTTATGATAAGATTTCTAGATGGTGCAGTTATCATAAGATTATTCATTGCTTGCTTATATGTAAAATACGCCTTATCGCACGGCAAATAGATAGACATTTTCATAATTATCAATACCAAGAACCATCATATTTCATATGACAACGCTATTTTATGAGCTCTGTTACGGTAGAATTTCCCTATAAGGTTATATACAGTGTTTTCTTTGTAAGAAATATGCCAGTGATATTTATATCTACATTGGTTGAATATTATAGTTATTATTTCGTTAATTCGCATTCAAATCAGAGAAATTGAGTCTCAAAAATTCAATCTTCTCTACTGGCTGTTCTTTCTTACCCCGCCCATGCCGTAAAAACGGACATAGACAAATTTTAGAAAAATCACAAAAAACTAATTTTTATAATTAGGAGTTAACTGGGAATTTTACGGAACATAGTTTGGTACTTGTTTGTTTGATACAAGTTGTGTGTTGCCATGTAGTTCATTTATTTCAGACAGTTTAATTACTGAAAATCAAATTAGACTTTGTGTTCTTCACTACCATATACTCAAAATGGTCTACAATATTTTAGTGGATATCGATTCTACTGACATTTTCTGGATTCTATATACTTGAAAATTGATATTGTTGTAGCAAATTTGATAAACTAGAGCAAGTCAATATATTTTCAAGTGTATCATTTGAGAAAAGTATATAACATTGTACAATCAAATGCACTCTGCTCTCTTGTCAAATCAAATATAGCAGCTTTTATTTTCAATGAGCAATATGTATAAAAACACTATAAACAAGTGTTTTTTTTAGTGAATTCTTATTTTTAAAAACCTAAGTAAAAACATGTATTTTTAAGTAATATTTTATTATTTTTTCTCACGGTAGAAATATTGTATTCTCACTAACTGCAATTTGAAGAATAAGCAACAGATTTGTCATATGATATTTTTGAAAGGAATTAAGCAATCACACTGCGTCCCATTGATTCATAATAGTAATTTGGTTCGTTCGCAACGTATACTTTCATAAAATCATATATTTGTATTGTTTGCAAATGATGAGATGCTCAAGTTCGACGACATAATGCATATGCAGAAAGAATCCTGTAACAGATATTGCCCAATAGTAATTGACGTGAATGCACGTAGGTACAAATTACGATCGATATCTGGCTCTCGGTAAAAATTATAATATGTTCTGCTGCGTAATGCAAATAATATTTGCGGAATAGTTCTTAAGAATTTTTTTCTCGGTTCAAATATAAATAGAAAGTTTACTACGCTTTGTGATTATTTTGTAATTAATAATTGCAATGCTAATTCAGTTTAAAACTTGCTCTATTTGCATACTAATATATATATATATATATATATATATATATATATATATAATACATTATTGTTTGGTTAATTAAATTTATCTCAAGTTCAGGGCATCAAATAATTTAACTAATTAAACTATGATACATTTTTTCTTATTTTGGCATCACTTGAGCACTGCTATTATCAATTTTAATTATGAAGTGTTCGTTTATTCATAAAATTGAATACAAATTGGGGCGAATTTTCCGGTAAAATAGACCATAACATAACGTTGTTGGTACTAAAAACTGTGAAAATGCTATGTATTTGCTGTGCGATCAGGCGTTTTTTACATAAAGGCATGTGTTATAAATGCACATCACAAAGATGCAGTTACGATTACATTCTTTTTCAGATGTTTGTCCGTTTTCGATTAGGTTTTAAATCTAATACGCCTGGCTGCACAGCGAACTCACAGCATTTTTACAGTTTTTGGTACCAAGATAGAAGCATAACCATAGTGTTGCCATAACAACTTATGTTATTGGTAGAATTGGCCCCATATACATTCCCGATATATTCTTACAACTATTACTTACAAATTTCGACTATATTTGAAATGAGACTTGCCCAATTCACGAAGGCAACTTTGATCTATATTTTTATCAGAAGCTTTTGTTATATTTAAGGACAACTTGTAACATAATATAAAGGAGTAAATGTAGATGTAAATAATTGAAAACCTTTGTTTTGTGGAACTGACACATTTTTTTTTTATTTTGCCTGATTTGTCCGCAGCTATCATTACAAATCTTACTTTTATAAGTGTTACCGTTTTTAAATATACTCACAAGCATGTAAACAGTTTTGTAAGAAAAATAGTACCAAACGTTTCGATATATAATCATTATTAAATATGGCCTAGTGATTTCTTGCAATCACCAACTTTATTATTACAAGTTATTTATTATTATTTATTAATGTTTTTTTCTTACTTATCTATGTATTCCTATTATCTTTTCCATTTCTTTTTTTATTTGTATTAATTTTGATTTTTAGTGTTTACACTTATAACTTATAGATTTTTGTAGTTATAATGAAAATAAAAATAATAAAAAAATATTTTATATAATATATACCTCAATCATAATCAGCACTACCTATAACACTTTTTACAAATTTGGTCTCATTCGATTCAGAATGATCTGAAGCGTCGAGATAACATAAAACTAGCAAATCGGATTATCTGGGTAACACAATACATTTTTTTTTCAGGAATTTAACAAAATAAGAATAAGTAATAAAATATTCTTAGTACTTTGGTTTTTAAAATTTTGAAATCGGTTCAGCCGTTTTTGACGGCGGCGAAAAGTGAAAAATCGGCTCACATGCACACGTACACAAACACACATCTTATTCCAATGTCGTTTTTAAACGATTGACTTGAAACGTCGAAAAAACATAATATAAGCAAGTTAGATTTTCTGAAAAAAACGAACTTATTTTTGCCAAGTTGAAAATTATATATCTTGTGTTAACATTAATAGCATTTCATCAAAATAAGTTAAGAAAAATCATACATCTTGTGTTATTTATTTATTCGGTACGTTAAGAAAATGTGTTCGCTAACGCACGCCTTATTGTACTGCTCGCTAGTATACATCTATATGCATGAATATCTACCTCGGTACACAAGCACATTGAATTTCTCACTGTCAATTTTTGGAAACCTCGAATTCTCTGAATGAGAGGTTCAAAATCTAATCAAATACTACAACTATACAAGTTGTACACATATACCATATATATATATATATATATATATATATATATATATATATATATATATATATACAGTGGCGTGGGAACCGTGTGGGCTGGGTGGGCTTGAACTCAAAATATGAGATTGTCTAAATTGTCCACTGGCTATCTTCGAGCCCATCCATCAAAAATTGCCTCCGACGCCACTGTATATATATATATATATATATATATATATATATATATATATGTATGTATCTACTAACATTTTAATTCTTAATACGGTATCCAGAAAAATGTAAACAAAATTTGTACTTATTATTAAAATCTCTATAAAATATCCGATAATTTGATGTGCATATATCTAATGATCATTTTTGATCGGCTAAAGCCATTTATTCAACTTTTTTTATTGGATCTTTGAAACTGCTGCACCCGCCTTCCCAAAAATTTAAATACTTTAATTAATTCAATTAATAATAATAATTAATAATAATATTTATTCAATTCAATTAATATTAATTCAATTAATAATAAATTCAATTAATTATTTTTTAAAATCGTTAATCGTATGGAAATCGAAAATTTTGGCATTTACTCCTTATCTTCGAAATACCTGCACCTGCCTTTGCCAAAACTTAATTAACACGTCTCCCTATCAATAGGAATCGAATGTTTCACGTACCATACACACACCCTCACAGACATTATATCTAAGGTATGCCAAAATGTTCAGAAGACTTTGAAACGTAAAGATATATAAACATTATTTTTTTTATTTTTTTTGCGATTACTATAACTTACTCTACGGGAAGTTAAAAATCATAATTACTTTGCTTTTTATTATTCTACAATATTAAAATTCTTACTAACAATAGGTTGAAATTTTAATTGAGTGTAAATAGTGTTGATATGTAATGAGCAATTTGTATCATTCAATTTTAATGTAAATAGTGTTTGTATCATTAACTCTACTAATATCAGATTTTTAATTTTATTTCCAGGTTTCAGAACGGAAGTTAGCGCCGTTGAAAGTAAATCTTTCACCCAGGGAACAACTTCTGCAGTCCATCAAGAGAGGCCGCCAACTGAAACACGTATCCACGCCGCTGAGAGGAGACGCGCCTCGTAAGTCGCATACATTCTTACTTTATCGTTCGCTCTATATTCTTCCGGGTGTAAAAAATCCAAGTCAAGTATATAATTGAATCTGAATGCAGTAGGCTCTCACAGATAATTCAATAACTGATACTAAATCATTTACTTTCCAGTAATTTATACCGTATACTGCTGTTACTTAAAATAATAATAAATTATGATATTTTGGACATTCATTCATAACTATTTCCGAGTATTATATTGATACCTTTCGCGATTTTAATCTATTATCAGACATGGTACAATTTTCTAAAGTAATCTCTCTGTAAAAACAAGGTTAGAGGTTAGAGGTTAAATACAATATTTTTACTTAAAACACAGCAAAAAATTATTGGTATATGATTTATATAATCTTTAGTATCAAAAACATGTTCATGAATTCATAATTCAAGTTATGGCATTGTATACTTCAAAAAGTAAATGATTTAATATTTAGTATTTTATTTATATATTATCTGTGAGAACGTACTGCATGCAGTATTAATAACTTTTATTTCGTCTTGCAGTTATATAATACTATAATAGTAATTTTGAAAATGATAATACATGCATATGTTATATACATGCATAATTTAGTATTAATTAAAAATTAATGGGTAGTACTGCCCTAGGGCAGGTCCGTGAGCCGAGTTAAACTCCAACTCGATTCAGGGAAGAATAGTGTGAGAGATTTCCCATTGCCATTTCACACTGTAGTGCCGGTGATAGGCTTATTCTCAAATGGAAACATATTTAAATTTAGTGTTATAATAATTATTATTATGTATAATAATTATTAGTGATCTCCCCGAGGGCGGATTCATTGTGTAAGAGTAGCACATTATTTCAGTATTCTTTATAGTACATTTTTATATAAATTACTTTGGAAACTTTTGTTTTTAGACTTTTACATTCTGTGTCTTCAATTCCCTTATTTATACTCGAACAATTCGGCGATCATCTGCGTTCTACTTGGTCCTTTACATTTAAATATGAAGTAATGCGATATTTTTAATTTTTCGAAGAAAAAGATTATTTTCATAAAAAAATATGATTTTCGACGTTTTAAGTTATTCTAAAAAGTTTAACACCAAAATTGTAAAATTTATGCATATTTGACTATGTATGCGTGTAAGCCAAAGTTTGACTTTTTTTCAAAAAACCTATTTCAAATAATAATTTAGTGAAACCCTGTGAGGTCTCATATTGATTAATTTTGCGCGACTATCGTAATCGTTTTCGCCAAAACGATTATGCCAGTTCAAAGGCTTTTCGCAAATTATTTGTTACGAATCGTGCTGAATAGCTTTTGGTGAAAATCTTACCGGCTCTGTTTCTTTGTAATCAATTAATACTTTTTTGACGAATTCAACAAAACTTTGCAAGACAATAAAGTCCATGGTCTTAAACAACATTTTGAAATTTTATAGGCCTACGAAAAGTGATTTGATTATGAAAATTTATTAAAATCTGGAATAATGGGCAATATTGAGCCTATTATTCTGTTCACACACCATGTATGTAATAAGGAGCCGTCTATTAATTACCTGATCGATTTCTAAGGATTTTTGGACCCTTCTTCCTGCTTGGTGATACGTGCTGTTATTTAAAATTACCGCTATTTTCTCTTTGTTTTCGTTGTAGTCATGAATTTATTTTTGAGTGGAATAATTTTGCTAAAATAAGTTCGTGGTTTATCAATCATTTCTACGTTACTTGCAATTTTGAAAAGAAAAAGCGGATGCTCCATATCAAATGATAAGTTATCATTGAGTGGCTGAACTCCATTTGTTCACTAAACAGACTATTCATTAACTAATATGCTATTTTATGAGATAATGATGTAATGTACGTTCATGCATCTATTCTCCGTATAAGGGAATTTATTTTATTTACATTTAAATAATATTTAAGTAATTTCAGTATAAAATTACTGAACGTTATTACTATTTTTTTCGTAATCTCGAGAAACTTAAGGTTTATAGAGTTCAATATTTTATTATCAGTATGCAAATATGAACTGGTTAGATATCGTTTTCATTCAATATGATATTATGTAATTGTCATTCTCTACACGTAATGGAAGTATTTTAATCCAAAACATGAAAACACGAAACACTTGCGATTCGAAAACAAGGACAATGTCTGTCTGTAGAAAGCCACGGAGTGGCACATATGAATAGTTGAAAGTAAATTCATTATTGCTTATTTTTATTGCAAATAATTAGTTGTTTTCATTTTCACATTCTTTATGAAGTCGTTTAATTATTTAGTAGCTACAATTTATTATATCTATTATAAACGGTTTCATTTTATTGATTCAAATTAGTTTCTTCATTGTTTACAATTTATTTTATGTGGTTAATGATGGAATGAACGTTGAGAAAATTATTATTATGCACTAAAAAAATAACTACTAATGTTAAGTATAGAAAAGCAGTGTATATAAATCTGAAGTCAAAATTATTAAGCAATGATATTTGTTTCGCTTCAACGATTTTTTCAATTTTATAAAATATTGCATGTATCAGGTCAATCAGTTATTATTTAGAGTATATTCCTGACGAATACAATAGACTAAATATATCGGTTTGAATTTATTTTCATTTAAAAACGTATTACCATTATTATGATTAATTTGTCTATTTCTATATCACTATATTAGTCATGAAGAAACTATCATCTGTTTCTCCACAAATTGGGCTTTTCTTATCAGTTTCTTTTCTAAAAATCCAAATCTTGCCCATTCAATTTTTTTATTGTATTAAATTTTGATGATTGACTTCGTGCTGTTTTTTCACTATGCCGATTCCAAATAGTTTTGCTTTGCTATCATTATTTATATTGCATAAAAAGCTCAAAAAATATCTACTTTTGCTTCTGTTAGTGAACCTGATACATGATTTTTAGCGGTTCTACTTACAATTAGTAAACTCTTCATATAATATTCTACATTACAAATTATGCAGAGATTTTATAGCGTGTCGTGGGATTCTATACATATTTCATTATGTTACATATACAATGAAAGATTACTTTGAAACAACGAATTTTTCATAATGTAAAAATGGTTTCATTAATTATTAATGTCTTACAAACATGAGATTCTGTAATAAAATCTTTTAGACATTTTGTAAAATAGGCATATGTAATCAGTACAACCTTGAAGAAATTGTTATAGTTCTCGAAACTTTTTATTTTTGAATACATTTACGTTTTCTTGTTGTGTGTTTGATATTGTCTTGCTGGTATATGTATGATATTTTTCTAAACTATTTCGGCTTTGAATTTAATAAATAAAAAATTAATCTTGTTTTTAAAAAGTTAAGTGAAATTGTAATTTTTAATGCAAGGAAAGTTTTGATATTGGGAAACACATATGTTTGATAGTAATGAACAACTTTTTAAAACATTGGGCTTTTCGTGGATTCCTATTGATATGGAGATTTGTTGATTAGTTGTCTAAGGCAGGTTTACCCATTCCGAAGGGACGAAAAGTGCCAAAAATGGTAATTCAGTTTTTTTGAGAAAACGGAGCGCCCGATTTTAATGATTCAAAAAAGATTTTATTTGTATTGATAAATTGGACTGATTGATAAAATGGACTGAACAACTGATTAAATTTTTGTGAAGGTGGCATACCTTTCGCAGATCCAATAAAAAAAATATGAAAAATAGTTTGGCGTTCATAAATGATCATTAGATATATGCACATCAAGTTATGAGATATTTTATAGAGATTTTAATAATAAGTACAAAAATTTGTTTACACTTCTATGGGTTCCATACCAAGGTTTATGTATTTATTACCGTGCTTCGATATTATTGTATCAAAAAATTCAAAATTACCAAAAATCTAGTTTTTCTAAAATTTAAATTAAAATTTTGGTACGGGAAGTTCCAGCAATTTGCCAAGCAAAGATGCCATGCATCATTAGTAAAATTAATATAAATTCAGTACCTACAAAAGGAAATGTAATCTTTTAGCTTAAGATTTGATAGGTTCTCTCTGTAAATTTCTACATTGTCAACAGTGAAAGTAACGCTAATTATTTGAAAATACGATGTACTCAAGTATAAATTTAATGAGCAATAGAATGCAGTTGCAAGAGTTCAAATGGTTAATTTACTTAAATATCGAGGATGTTTACTTGTGGAAGTGAAAACAAAGCAAAAAATTTCTCAATATTTTCATTCGAAACCTTACAATTAGTTTGAGACAGACAAGTGATTAGCCGTCGATACCCATATTGACATCGTATCACACCAAGAGAGCGTATCATGCGAATTCTCACGAACATCTAATAAGATTCCGTTACACGGTACGGCCACGTTACATGGCTAGTTGTTGTTTGACCATCCATTTACCTTATGTAATCGACTTGTGTTTGCATGCATTTCACGATATGTGCCCTCATGCTGAATGGAACTCTGCCTGCCTCCGCATTTAATCTATCAGACCGGCGGAAATATTATTTGATCAGAATATTTGCAATTTTTGAAAAGTATGATGATCATGAAAATCAAATAAAAGAAATGGTTAATTCCATTGTATTTCGTTAAAAAAAATAAACATTCGATCTGACTACGGTTAACGACTTCCTCAACGGAAAATGTTTTTACTACAGGCCTTCAATTAACTTCCGCCAAATTTAAATTCTTGATTTCGCTTTAAAAAAAGAACGAAGTGTTTGAGTAGGTGGCTGAAAATTGTGGTTTCTGTACTTTTCCCGATATTAAGGTTTAAAAATAAAGTGTCTTTTAGTGAGGTGGCATCTATTAAAATGTGCCTGGTTGAGTCTCTATTTCTTCTATAGCATTTACAGTAATATGTAATATGAAATTATACTTGGAATCATATTACTTAAAAGTAAAACGGCAGGTAGAATTTGTTTCCATAAACTGCATTTTTGAGTAACTGTTCAAACTTGTAATGGACAGAAAAACTGATTTTGTACTGAAGTTTTACAAAAATATTTTTTTATATATTT